TATATAAAATGTGAGGCCCCTTAATTTGTACATGATATTACTTACCGCAACATAAATCCCATTGCAAAAAAATAAGGTAATTTAATAGAAGCATTTTGTTTTTTTAAGGTTGTTGTAGATGGTTTGGTTTACAGCAGATAGCATGTTTAAATCTCAAATCTGTTACACAGAGATAACAATGTTTTAGAGCACTTTTAAGTTTTGTATTTTGACTACTGTTGTAACCTTGTCAATAGTACTAATTTTGGCATGATTTATTTAAATCTCTAATACTTTAACCAAAAGCTGAATGGAGTGGCGATCTCTGGACACACTAGTTATTTAATTGGGCTGCACCAATTGAAGTTAGTATAATGTTACCAGGGGGTCCCTAGCTTTTTTCCACCGGAGACGGTGGGGGGTGCTTTTGCAGGCATATAGCCAAGCTCCCGACAACTGGTCTTGTCACTTGTTGCCGGAAGCTCAGTGGGACGCCAGCAAGAGCATCCCAAGTTGCTAAGCCCTTAGACATCTCTCTGGCTGGCTCTTAGCAACCTGGGGCTCTGGCCACCCTCCCCACACACAAGCTGCCACCTGAGGGAACAGCTTCGGGCTACCTCATTATATATAAACAATATACAGCATCTTGTGTAGCAGGTATACTATGTTTCTTTCACAAAATGAAAGTTTTCTTTTAAGGAAAGGTTAGCTCTCGGACCATGTCTTTTTAAGTAAAGGCTTTGAGAGCCATGGGACTGGTAGGAGTTTTTGCCATTCCTACTCTTATTGCTGTTGCAAGAAATCTGGATAAATATACATTCCTAGTAAATTTCAGAATCGATTTAATACTTTATTCAATTTTGAAAACATTAACAGCTCTTTTATATGAACAAAGTTAAAATTCAGAATTATTTTAAATGAGAACATTGATTACCCTTTCAATTTTTGTGATCACGGTAAAAAAATATATTATTTTTTAAACTAGATATTAATCTCAGGGCCTGATTTACTATGGTAGTAAGTCTGATTTCTTAAAACTGAGTGTAGTGGTCATATGAGTTTGCATGAAATGCATGTGCATACCTTGCTTAGAAACAATTAGACTAAAGTCAAGCATCTAGTCAGGCAGGAGAATCCTATTTTGGAGCATTTATCCCCTCCCCTCACAGCAGTAGGAAAATAGGGATTTTAGAATACATTTTACACTATTCTAATGTACTTTTAAATCTGGATTTTTTTTCTAAATAATGTAATTTTTGGGCCATTACAATGACATAATAAATAAAATAATATCAAAATCTTGTATTTATAGATTCACCATGGTATTGTTTCAATTGTTAAGAAAGTAACTATAGGTATAATAATAACTTTTGAATTACTTAATTAAGGATTAAATATATAAAAACTTGCATCTCTGCTGTGTCAATTTAAAGTTATATTGCAATACATATTTCTTCATTTTAATTATACTTTAAAATGTTAAATAAATGTTAAATGAAGCCCTCATTAATATTCCTAAGGATATACGTACACATATACATGCACATATGTGCTGAAGATACACCCAGAGCTAACCAGAAAATGTTTACTCCTTTGCCCAGTCTTTGTTTGCAATGCACATATGATAAAATGAATTAGCACACGTTATAGTTAAACGAAATTAGGATAAATTAGGATAAATGGATAAATTAGGATAAATGGTTGTTTTCTTTCAACAAATATGTGTAGATAAGTGCAATGAGTTTATATATTAAAACAGGTTTTCATTTTAGGCATTGTTAATGTTGGTAAGCACTTTTTTTTCATAATTTGTCTTTTTAGTATATTCTACCATGCACATAAAGGCTTTATCTAGTAGTAAAGATTTTAAAAACATCCACTCAGTGTTTGTGGTATGAATAATTACAATAGATAACCATTGACACCAACATGAGTCATTTTTGAGCCAACTTGGAGAGCGGTCATGGGAAACATTATCAGGGTTATTCACAAGAGGGTAAAGTTTGGAGAAGGCAGGAGAAGTGAACAATCTAGGACAACATAGTTGATTTGGAAAAATTCTCCAATACAGCTCACTTTTTTGGTCAGCTATGTTGTCATAGATTCTTCACTTATCCTGCCTTCTCCAAAGTCATCACCAATTTGTGAATAACCCTATATATGTTTAAGAAAAGACATTCCCTCTGGACCTGGCTGCCAATACAAATTACTTTTTAATAAATTAATCCCAAAATCTCAGTCATTTTTCACAATGTTCTATTAAATTGAGCCTCGCATTGTGTGCTGTGTGCGGTGAAAAAGAAAGACCTAGTGCACTGACAAATATAGTCCTGGTTGTATGATGTATGTTATTCAAGGTTAGCTCTACTTAACACACATGACCTTCTTCAGGGATGTTAAAGTCTCACTTGTAAAATGAATTATGTAAATGCTGTTTGTATCATAATTGTATGTACACATTTTCTAAGAAGGAGTTCAATGAAATACAAATGGCCTAAATGATCTACAGTTCGATTTAATTAACTGATCATTTTTGGCCAAAGGAGTTTAATTAGTAAAGTGAACTGAGTACAATTAAAGTATTATAGAGCAAGGATTTTAAGAATTAACTATGCTGTAAAACAATTTGTGGGTATTATAGATGATCTGCGAATTAGACAAAACTGGCATATTGAGCAAATCACATCTCTTGGAATGAACTGAACATCTTTTTAAACAAACTGAATATGTGCATGCAGATTTGTTCAATAAAATAACATAATTTGTGAATCCTTTATACATAAGACTTGCCAAAGTTACCAGATTTGCCAAATACATTAATGGATGCACTACTTTCTAATCATATGCATTATTACAGTGATTAGTTAAGTGATCACAAAGTAAAACTTGTCCACATGGGCAGATTACCTGAATATCTCATTCGCTGATGGATATTCTGTAAAAATGTGGGTTAC